GTTTGTGAGCTAGACGCAAGTGAACTTGTGCAGGCTTTTTTTCGCCACACATTCTGAAATCATTCATATGCATGGTGCGATAGAAACGTCACGCAGTTTTCGCTTCTTCAATGGCAATATCGTGTTCCAGGGCAAGACAAATATGACCACTGTTTTTTCGCATCTGAAGCACGTCAGCGAGGAACATGACGTCAACAGATGGCGGTTGGCTTTCGACCAGCTTGAAGCGCCTAACGCAATGTTTCGAATACGAAGCGCGTTTTGCCATACCTAATTCAAACATTTGGGCAGTTCTATTATTCACGACAGAAATGAGCCTGGGACTGAGTAGCTCGATAAAATCAGCATAACCGTGAATGCAAGTGCAAACAAAAGACATGCCGGAGAAGCATAAAAGCACACGAAAAAGTATAAGAGAACAACAGGAGAGAAAGTGCCAAAACATGCGAACACGAAGATGTTCGGCTAATTTCACACGCAGCTGTTCAGAAACCACTGTTGGCGAATTGAAACAAACTTAGAAAACGCATGTGAGTGGGTCCGTAAAATACGGTAGCAATTCTGACACTGCAAGTCTGGCAGCAACCCTCATCCCACAAAAATCGTTCCAAGGCATTATCAAACGATGACGTGTTGAGGAGTGTATTTATTAAATAGACATGCTTTGCCTAGAACAGTACTTGCCGTTTGAAAAAACATACCAACAGTTACAAGTGGAGCTTTTCCATCTTATCAGAAGGCTGCCTCAACAACTTCAAAACGCGGGTCATTCTCTGTAAGTTGCTCACCATTTACACGTCCTCCAAGTTGGTATGTTGTCTTTTTTACGCATCACCGTTAAGTAGGTCACCAAATTCGACCCTGGCTCATCGACTTTGCCTTTTGTCGCCATTTTTTTTTTCCAGTTCGTCATTTAGCCTTCCGCAATTTTTGTTATACCGCTGTCAGGAGTTCGCCACGTAGCCAATTCGATTTTTGGCTCGTCGGATGTTTTACATGTCGACAATATGGAAGTCGTCATATCGATGTCAACAAAAAGCATTTACCAAACTGCAAGTTGACTTTCTGCCGGGGAAACCGGTGGGCGGCAACAAAATGTCAGTTGAAATGAGACGCGTTTATCACGCTGCGTGCCCCGAAGAATTCACGTGTATGATTCTTGGAGATAATCGGTTATCACGCAGTGTTTTAAAGTTAACTTTTCATAACTTAAGACGTAACCCATCTTAATATAGGGGGGGGGGGGGCTTGTAAACCTCTCCTAAGGTTACTGAAGGTACCTCTCCGGTATGTGGTACAATTACGCCCAAAGTTCTCGCAAGCCTCTGGGGCATCTGTTGCGCGTATTCGCACGTTAAAAACGTTGTCCCTAGCGGCTCCGGCTCTGCTAAGCGGCGGTTTATTAGGACCGCTGCACGGCGATCACGGCCGGCACGGGCGGCGGCAACTAACGGCTCCGCGGAACGTGTGCGGCACGCCGACACTGTTACATCGACGGAGCCCTTCATCATAAACATATGCTAAAAAACAACGATGGCCTCCGACACAACATGCTGACACTGGTGCCTCGAGTAATACTTAGAAACTGCAAACTGAACTGCGTGCTTAATCGTTGCTAGGGATGGGCCCTTCCGCCTGTTTGTAGGACAAGGTTACATGTTCTATACGCCTTGCTCCTTATTCCGCTAACTTGCGCCGTGCCACAAGTTTGTGCAAAACTGGTAACCATGACAATGGCAATTGATTTTGCACAGGAATCGAATTCAGCACTGCTAGCAGGTGTGCTACGCCAGAAACCTTTACTAAATACTGCTGTTTAAATTCCTTACATATCTGAATAGCGAAAGCCAGTGAAGATCTTACAGCAAAAATTACCGTAAAGCTACAATAGGGTGGCGGTTGACACGTTTTGCGTTTTTACGCCGGGTAACTTTGGGAAACCAGAGATGTGGGGTTCGCCCCCCCTGCGGTTGCCCGCCCTTTTACCAGGGTGACAGGCATGGTGACCGCCATATGGCCCCCAGTGGCTGAGACGCGCCGGTAAAGCCCCCAGACGCGCAGCATAAGCTACTTTCTTGGATTTCCTGACATCAATATTTTGTAGGAGGCCATAGTATGGAGGAGAGCTGCATAAGCTCAATAATCTAGCTGATAAGACGCCACATCCAACAGAAAATCTGGTCCAACGCGATTACGCACTGGTTGCCGGGTTCATATAACCTTTAGATTGATAAGCCTTGCGTGGGCCTCCCCAAAATCGGTTGCAGTTTGATTGTACGGAACGTTTTGGCACGTTTCCGATTCATTTGATACCCTCCCCTTTTTGTTCAGTTTGTTGTGATGCAGCAAACCGACGACTTTGGTCTCAACACGGGCCCAATGAGAGGTGAGGCCACATTGCAGTACAGCCGTCGTGGATGTATTCTGGCAAAGATGATACACAAAGTCAGACATGTCACGTACTCAGGATTTTTTTGGGTCGAGTCACGCCCATTGGATGCATCCTGCTCGTTCTACGCACATTGAATAGAAAGAATTGTGAGCAGGCGCAGACCCGGTTCCCTCCAACTCCATACCACGCATTTGCTGTAAAAAGCTGCCTTAAACGTCCACTGAGTTGAGATCACGACAACGTGGTTTTGTCGGCGTATCGTGTACTGTTCAGACACAGTTCAGGTGGGAGAAGTCCTACCGGCAGACTGTCACCTCTCCACGTCGCTGCCCGCTTGCAAACCTACCGACAGGGTTGTGGAATCACATGGGCAGCTGCTTCATGTCCTGTACTTCGTAGGTACGAATCACATTAGCATCAGTCATCCACAAGTATTCCGATCATTGCCTGAACGTATACACTGACCATGCCCACATGAATGCAGCGAGGAGTTCCGGAGTGCGTGAGTGCGTGAGTTGCGGAATACGGAGTGCGTGAACTCCGGCCCGGCGTTCTGGTGCAGAATGCCATCTATCGTCGACATCCGCAGGCTGGCAGCTCACACCACACAGATGATTGCTTTTATAATATACACAAATAGCCCTAGCAGTTGGTCTCATGGGTCCAGATACCCGCTTGGCATCAGGCACGTACTTTACATGACCCTCACGCACGAGCCCGGCGGTCAGCTGAAGCGGCCCGTGCCTGGGACACACGAGTACAGGTTGATTGGCTGCTTGGGCCGCTGGCCGCTGCGCCCGCATGGTCACATATCGCAGCCGTACGGGGATACACTGCCGTGGCTGGCTAGGCACTGGGACATGATATCAGCTCATCTGCATACCGATACATTTCGGCTGGACTCCAGAGGTACCTGTTTGTTGATACTTTGTGGCGACGCTCGGGCTATTCGCCTCCACATTACTACCAGCATGTAATCAGGCAACGAACGATCACCCACCGACCCACACCATAGTATACGGTGAATTCCAAACGTAAGCACCAACGTACAATCAGGTATCAGACATGGCTATTCACGCGCAGACGCCGCTTACGGTGAAGCACTGCCTCTGTCTCATCATGTGGCAGTGATGCGGCAGACATTGTTTGGCGGGCTGTCAATGGGGGTGAACGTTACATAAATCAGGCATAGCTCCCGCGACTATTTCCTTTCCCGAGCGCAACCAACCGTGATCGTATACATAGCCACTCCTGTAACACAGACAGACCGCAAACATGCATGTCGATAGAAGCCAAAGGCTTGTCCTGGAACTGCGCGTGTGTTGAACAGGCCCCAGGGCGTGATCCGGTGGAAAGGCGTCAAAGCGCACGTACATAGACATGGTAATCTTCGAAGATGAGACGTGCTTACCACATCTGTAATAACCTTACGGGGAAGACGTATTGCTGGTCAGCTCGGATTATGCCCCATTATGCATCGGAAACTGTTCAACTTCCATTTCGATTTGCAACTCCAGCTCACAAACTCCGGCTACGACACGTGGATTAAGACCGCGCTATTGGCCTGCCGCGATACGCCATATTATGCGAGTCCCTTCCCTCCCCCTCCCCATTGGTAACGTATCACATCACTCAGGCACCGCTCGGCGGCCGCGAGACACCCCTTCGGCGACTCTGATGACCCCCTCTCCCACCGTTGTCACGCGCAACGCCGGTACCGATCTCGTCACGGTCACCGCTGGGAACTGTGGCAGCACAGTCACCATCGGAACTGTGGCGGCACGGTCACCGTCGGAACTGTGGCGGCTCGGTCACCGCCGGGGACTGTGGCAGCACGGTCACCGCCGGGGACTGTGGCGGCTCGGTCCCCGCTGGGAACTGTGGCGGCTCGGTCACCGCCGGGGACTGTGGCGGCACGATCACCGTCGGGGACTGTGGCGGCACGGTCACCGTCGGAGACTGTGGCGGCACGGTCACCGCCGGGGACTGCGGCAGCACGGTCACCGCCGGGGACTGTGGCGGCTCGGTCACCGCCGGGGACTGTGGCGGCACGATCACCGTCGGGGACTGTGGCGGCACGGTCACCGTCGGAGACTGTGGCGGCACGGTCACCGCCGGGGACTGCGGCAGCACGGTCACCGCCGGGGACTGTGGCGGCTCGGTCACCGCCGGGGACTGTGGCGGCTCGGTCACCGCCAGGGACTGTGGCGGCACGGTCACCGTCGGAGACTGTGGCGGCACGGTCACCGCCGGGGACTGTGGCGGCACGGTCACCGCCGGGGACTGTGGCGGCACGGTCACCGCCAGGGGACTGTGGCGGCTCGGTCACCGCCGGGGACCGGGGACTGTGGGGCCGCGGTCACCGCCAGGGACTGTGGCGGCACGGTCACCGCCGGAGACTGTAGCAGCACGGTCGCCGCCGAGGACTGTGGCGGCTCGGTCACCGCCGGGGACTGCGGCAGCACGGTCACCGCCGGGGACTGTGGCAGCACGGTCACCGCCGGGGACTGTGGCAGCACGGTCTGCAGGCACGGTCGCCGCACTACTTGTGCTCGGACGGTGGAGGGCTAGGCCGAACCGTTGTGAGACGTCCTGCTGCCAGGCGCCATTCATGAGCGGGACCGGTGGGGACCACTTGCGCCCCTGGAAGCCCTCCATGACGTCCGTCAGCTTCAGGGCGTAAGCGATCTCGAACAGGGTGTTGTAGCCCAGTACCCTGTCGACACGACGGTACGCGAGTCACGACAGTGCTGATCACACCAGTGCGGGTCTACGTGCGGCTCGGTCGACAGGTCACTACACTGCTGGTACTGCCGTCTCATGAAGGCTAGTGAAAAAGGTGAGCGTCCATGGCGTGCCTCAACATTTCTGATCATCTTTTTCGTTTAGCGAATACTGTTTGAAGCACATATTGTGTTTTGTTTTGTGGCTGTTCATGTTAACATATACAAGCTAATCATATTGCTGGCTAGGCGCATTTATATAAATCTATACAGTCGTCGCAGCAAAGACCTTGATCACGAGCAAGCTCGTGACGACAGGTCAGCTTATTTCATACGTGCAACAAAATATGTTATTACCACCAATGATATCGACCAATGCATAAAGAGACACGCATGCGTCTGTCGAAATCACCAGCAACGTCATACTCCTTGGACGCAGGCAGCGCGGGCCGGATGTAGACGGGGGTGAGCTACACGTGTTCTGCGCCAACAGGCTCCATTCCGACCGGACCTACGCAGACTAGTTGACAGGCCCCATCCGCAAGGACCATCGAGGACCATCGACAGACCCCAGCATGACCAGACCAGCGACAGACCACGGCTTGAACAAACCAGCAGCAGACCATGGCATGACCGGACACGCGGCAGACTCCGGCATGACCGAACACGCCGCAGACCCCGGCATGACCAGACCAGCGGCAGACCCCAGCATGACCAGACCAGCGAAAGAGTGCGACGTAATCAAACCAGCGGCAGACCACGGCATGGCCAGACCAGACCACTGCGTGCTGCTGGCAGGATGCACAGTCGCCTGGACAGACGTACATTGAAAGCCGACGGGACGGATGCAACCTCTGGCGGCGATGCAGGGTGCACTCGGACGGCATGGATATACCCGCCTTTGAGCGGTTCACAGAGACCCCATGTTTTGTCCGGCATGCATACTTCAACACAGGCACGCGCGTGCTCACAAACACATGCAGAGGACGGTGAGTGGGCAGCTGGAGCAGCCTCTCGCCACACTGTCCCGCTGGTTTCATCAGCTCGGTCTAACAAAAACTAGCCAACACTGTCCTCCACACACACCCTGAGGTCAAACAAAAGCCTGCCCTGGAAGCGCACCTCACAGTTAGTTCAGCAGGGTGCTGGGTCGCGACTGAGCACGAGAGGCAGACGGCACGAGCGATTCTGCCAGCACACACTAGCCGGCCGCATGCACTCTTACTGTGGACCGCACTAAGCTGTCTTCTGGCGACCGGTAAAGGCGTCCATGCTGCGCTCAACTCTAAAGCTGCGGCCGAGCCACCAGTAGGCGTTACTGGGCAAGAGCCTGGCGCAGCGACGGCGTCCGTCACACGCGCGCCAGTCGACAGACGGTCTGACACGGCCGGCCCAGCGCCAGCGCGACCGCCCCGGGACACGCTCAGCACAGCCACACCTACCTGCTGCAGCGGCACACCGCCAAACAGGATCTTACTGAATGGGGTGTTCCTCATTTGTGTCGGGTTTTGAGCTGAAATGGCCATTTTGAAGATCGTTCGGTGCAGTTCACAGCCTTGCCCTTCTTGCGACCTACAACCCTCCGGTTTCTGGGCTACATGTCCGCGAAGTTGTGCAGACTATTTCGTGCGCATTATTTCAAGGTCATTCAAGCATGTATGACGCCATAGAAATATCATCAAAACCCTGCGACCACACTGACCATGCCGTGTTCAAGGCCAAAAATAATATAATTGTCGAGCCGTTCATATCTAATGCTCGTGAGGACGATTTCCAGACATTATGGGTGTCAATCGGCTATCAAACAATGCTGTACAAGCTATGCAAGAGTCTAACACGAATTACGTTTTGCGCTACGTAATATAAGAAGTTATCAGTCTTCCCAGTTATTACGGGAATAGGACTCGATACCCAAAATCTTAAGATTCGCGCAATAACCGAACGTTCCTTAACGCAATCAAACAATTATGTAATAAAGAGCATATTAATTAAATCGAGAAATTGTATTGCTTAGAGCGGTCTTTTACACTTGAAATACGCCAATAGCTAAAAGCGAGCCTATTTAATCATATCTAATGCTTACTGGAAATGTGGAGCATTCTCTTTAACCATTGCCTTGATCAAACTGAGCCAATCACCCATAAGGTCAGGACACAGCCTGAGTTTGCGACGGGCGTTAGTGCCATGATTCCCGACGGGAGGGGCTTATTTTTTACCAGCGAGTGCCAATCTTATTAATAGTACCCAACCACTGCGGACAGCCTGACGGAAATAAGACTTGATCCCAGCCCCCACTGACGCTAAAATGTACAGTACCTTGCACATCATTGGGCTATCGATGTGGGTTTGCCCTGGTGCTTCTTAAGGAATAATTCGCATTTGAAGACATTGAAGCAAGCATCAGAATGATAAAATAAACTCACTTATAGGTATAAGTACACTTTTAAGCAGAAAGTACTGGTCTAGACAAAACATTTCCCTTTTGAGTAAATATGCTCCTCAATACGTCATTGTTTGAATACGTCATGGTACCTAGCACATCACTGATTGACAGCCCATCCGCCGTTATCTCTGGAAATCGTGCTCACTAACGCCATATTTGAACCACTCGACAGCTATATTTATGTTGACCTCGATCGCCGCATAGCTTATGGGAGGGCAAGGATTTGAATGGCGTTATTATGGCATCATGGATGCCTGGGTAACCTTGAAATAGTCTCCCAAAAAAGTCAGCACATCTTTGCCCGCGTGTAGCTCAGAAACTAGAGGGGCCATAAGCAGGGCAGGGCTGTGAATTGCACCGCATGATCAAGATGGCTGTTCCAGTTTAAAACCCAAACAAGAGTGAAACACTTCCTTTAATTCATTGTTTTAGCTGTGTACCGTACGTACTCACTCGGTTATCCGGAAGTCTTGACACCCAACTACGGCTGTTCGGATATACATGATGGAGCCCCCTGGCTTCGCCCACGAATAAAATGGATGTTTGGACATTTGAACACTATGTACATCAAACTGTATGACCTTACGCTGTGTCAATCCAACCGCAATTGCCTACCAGAAAGTTGTGCTCGCCACTCTGTTGTCAGACACCATCTTACGAAATACTGCGCCGACAGCTTGGGACAGAGCAGCACATTAGCGCTGGGCAGAACTAGACTAGCAGCAGGCTAGCATCCAGGCTAGACCGGCGTCACACTAAACTGGCATCAGATGGGACGAGCCTAACAGCACACCATGTTACTGCAATGTCACGATCTTCAGATCAAGTCACGTCATTCCACTGCAGAATGCGCTAGTATGCACCATTAGCAACATCCTACATTCAGCTCAATCGGTACAGCGGTTCCCCACATGGCTTTTGAAAATAGATTTCCGTGTTTAATAAGCGATGCAATTGCGCGGTGTATACCTTGGGAAGGCTTGATCTAGGGACATGTATACATACACGGACTGATCAGCACGCCATGTATGCATACATGGCGCGCTGATCAGTGCCGTTCCCTTGCTAGTGACACAAGATTTTGCTCGATCGGCCTCGCAGTTCCCAGCATAATGTTTGGCAGCAGTCTTCGCATTTGACACACACTGGCATTGACTGAAGAGCATAAATCGGCGATAGCTCGATCTGAGATCGAGAATCTACATCTGCAGGGTGCGCTAGTCCACCTCCATCTTATGAAGCCGGATTTGACCCGATCGACCCCGGAGTTCATTCTGTGATATTTGACAGAAGATTGAGGCATTTGTACTTCTAATGGTGTTTATTTCTGCATTGCCGATGCGGCCTAAGGTCACGAAACTGCACACATCTGATGTGCGGGCTCTGAGCAGTCTATCGCGCGTTAAGCTTAAGACCAGTAGTTCCCGGAAACGTGTTTGGCAGTTATGGCAGTAATTCGGTGCCGGGCGGAGGGCGGTTACAGCACCAAGAGGGTCAGACAGGCCTCGGGCTTTCCAGTTGTCGGAAACCGACTGCTTAAACGCCAAGCTGACGCAGCTGACTGCGGCACACGGGACTCTGTTCTACTCCTCCACCGACCCCGGTCACTCGAGCCGCTGCCGTCCGATCAATATGCTGACCGGGATCATGCGACAGTGACGACGCCTTCGTATACACCACGGAGACACTAGCATTCACAGAGGCTCTTCAGTTTGCTGTTTACCCTTCCCAATATCTATACAGGAGTTCGCACAACTGAGGTTGCAAATAAAACAATATCCTGCCGAATCCCGCAACTTTGAAACAAAAATGCGCGAGATATCGCTCAGCGTGCAATAATCCTGCGCACTAATAAACTGCTATCATGGGGCAAATAATGCTCGGAAACCAATCAGTTTTGCGAGCGTTGCGGTTGTAATGCTTCCGGTTTGTATACTTATTCACAGAAATCTAGCCCAACATTTTGCAGGCACCAAATAATCGACTCCAAGCTCAGTGATCACAATTCGTACCAGGTAGTGCTGGTTAAAAAGGCTCAACCGCGTTCCAGAAAACAATATCATTTCAAGCTGATCGTTTTTAAGTGGCATGCAGCGTCACAACACTACAGCCTCTCTCCAGTTATGTTCCTGTTTCGGCCAGTTGCCACCTGTCGCAATAGGTTATCCATATGAACTTGATTTTCATTGCCAGCTTGAAACGGGGGCATAGCTGCGCGCATGTGGCACAACACAAGCTGAGCACCAGGCAGCTTCTAACGTATGATCTATTTCACATAATTTGTACCGATCTCTTTAGATCCAGCTTACGTGAAGAGGGCTCTATACCCTAAGAGCCCACCATCGAAGTATCACGAGCTTGTCTCGAAAGATAGTGTTGCTCCCACCGGACACGAATGTGAATAGGTTGTTCTGGCGCTGGCTAGTGGCACAAGCCCCCACCATACCGGTCCCTCTGGCTAGTTATGTACTGACATTGTCATACTGGTCAGAAGAGATAAGAAGGCAGAATACAAGCCACAGTAAACATATATATATATATATATATATATATATATATATATATATATATATATATATAAACATGTGCTGAGTCCAGAGCGCCATGAATGTCAGTGTAATGTAACCGTTCACCCCCCCCAAAAAACTGCACGATTGACTTCAGCGTCAACTTTATATCTCGAGTTAGTGCACCTCCACCTTTGTACACAGGCTCGCGGCCAGGCGGGTGCGCTGGTTGTTCGTGCACCCCTGACATTTGGGGTGCACCCCCAGCCTCGTTCAGTGTGAGCGCATCCCTATACTCCGGCGTGGGGGTGCTAAGAAGATTGAGTATGGCCGTTCCTGGCGTTGGCGTTCGCAGCAAATCGTAAAACAGCACAACATAATCGTCACAGCCCGGACAAGGGATCGCGTATGCACCAAGTGCGTACCTTTTTCCTGGTACACCCCGGGGGTTTGGTCAGCCAACAGGCATGTCTGTCCTGCTAACCCCGGGGGTTTGGTCAGCCAACAGGCACGTCTGTCCTGCTAACCCCGGGGGTTTGGTCAGCCAACAGGCATGTCTGTCCTGCTAACCCCGGGGGTTTGGTCAGCCAACAGGCATGTCTGTCCTGCTAACCTCGGGGTTTGGTCGGCCAACAGGCATGTCTGTCCTGCTAACCCCGGGGGTTTGGTCAGCCCACAGGCATGTCTGTCCTGCTAACATTTGCGAACCGGCCATGAACGGCATGGAAATGAGCGGCGGTGGGGCCGGCGGCGGCGGCGCGCCGGTCAGCGCACACTCACAGCTTGAAGAAGAACAGCGGCGTCAGGTAGCCCGGGATGATGACGTGCTCCTTGTTCAGCAAGATGGCGGTCTCGATCTGATCCGCCACATACTCCGGCTCCAGGAACGGGATCACACTGAAGCGGAATAGCCGCCGCTGTCAAGGCCAGTGGCGGCGGCACCTCTGTCGAGTTAACGGATGTTTACCTCGGTTTTTTTCCTGCGCCGTCGTAGGAGTGTTGTTACAAGTCGCAAAGGGTTGGAGGGAAGGGGGACGACTGCCCGCTCACCTGGTCATAAAGTCAGGATATCATCATTCGCATGCCCCCCGGAAGTGAGAAAGCGCCATCTGCCAGGGCGTGAGCAGCGACCGTCCCCAATTGTGCATCATGCGGGAGTTGTAGTGATCATCGGCAATTCTCCGGAGGGAGCAGCAGTGATCATCAGCCATTCTCCGGGAGGGAGCGGTAGTGATTATCAGCCATTCTCCGGGGGGGGGGGGGGGGGCAGTATTCATCAGCCATTCTCTGGGAGAGCAGCAGTGACCATCAGGCATTTTCCGGAAGGGAGCAGCAGTGATCATTGGATATTCTCCGCAGGGGCAGTGATCACCAGCCATTCTCTGCGGGAGCAGCAGTGATCATCAGCCATTCTCCGGAATGGAGCAGCAGTGGTTATCAGCCATTCCCCGGGGGAGCAGCATTGATCATCGGCCATTCTCCGGGAGAGCAGCCGTGATCATCAGCCATTCTCCGGAAGGGAGCAGCAGTGATTATCAGCCATTCTCCGGAAGGGAGCAGCAGTGATCATCAGCCATTCTCTGGGAGAGCAGCAGTGATCATCAGCCATTCTCCGGAGGGGCAGTGATCATCAGCCATTCTCTGCGAGAGCAACAGTGATCATCAGCCATTCTGGATCATCGGCTATTGATCATCGGCTATCACCGGAGGGACGAGCAGTAATTATCAGCCATTCTCCGGGAGGGAGCAGCAGTGATCACCGGCCAGAAGGGAGCAGGAGTGCATTCAGACGCCAAACGATCATAACCGGAATCCCACTAATAAGTGATAATCGTACACCAGAGGAGAACGACACAACGATTACCATCTGACCACTAGACAAGAAGCGAGACAGCAATCACCATCTAAACACTATGAGACAAGAGCGACACAGTGATCATCACTGCGGACACCAAGGGCGCGATAGAGCAATTCTTTATTTTTTATCAATAGAATTTCTGTGTGACATCTCCAGTCCCTTACACCGGGCTGTGTGACATCCCCAGTCCCTACACCGGGCTGTGTAATATCTTCAGTCTCAGTGGCGGGCTGCGTGACATTCCCAGTCTCAGTGGCGGGCTGTGTAACATCCCTAGTCTTAGTGGCGGGCTGTGTGACATCTTCAGTCTCAGTGACAGGCTGTCTGACATCCCCAGCCTCAGTGGCGGGCTGTGTAACATCTCCAGCCTCAGTGGCGGGCTATGCGAGATCTTCAGTCCCTGGCACACACTTACGTTGACTTGGCGCCATCAAACATTCCCGTGTTGATGAAGAACGGGCAGATGACAGTGGTATGCACATCGTCGTGGCCTCCCACCTGAAATGCATTGGGCAATGCCACTGAAGCAACAGGAAGGAACACACCGACAACGAAGACTTAAGAAAGAACCATGTCCTCCCCTCGGACAAACAGGGACTCATTGGGAGCTGTCTGTTGTAATGCAAAGCAAGAGACAGCGAGTCCGGTATCTCAGCGTCCGCGGCGCACACTTCACGTTGATACCGTTTTATCAGCTGCTGCCGTGTTGCTGATGCTCAGTTACACCACGGCACGTGATACGGGATTAATAATAAGCTGCCCAATCTCTCAGGGGTTTAAGTGTGCTTGGCCGGGTTACACAGAGACAGTGTAATCTCACCGTCCCCGTGTACCTGACAGGATTCATTTCGATTGTTTCTGATAACAGTGAGTCCTTTACAAACCCGCAGTGATTCCACAGAAGCAGAGGTCATAAACAGATACACCGAAGACGTTTGACGGCCGTAGGTTGCGCAAAGCCCGCCGTGAAAGAGCACGTGAATCGAGCAACACAATTACGTTGGCTTCCAAATACGGCACAACGACACTGGCTGCAACGCTACACAAGCAGTCATCCAGATAGCATCTTCAGCTATTCGAAAGCTTTAAATAAAGCATGCATGCATTGACACAGACCCGCCGCTGAACACAACTGACGATAAAGGACCTCCCCGGTCTGATCCAGACGACCTGTGCGCCCCGGTCACAGACCCGCCCCGGTCTGATCCAGACGACCTGTGCGCCGCCGGCAGTCATCGCACTGCGAGGCGACGAATAAAGGGACGCATGTGCCCATTCGCTTTAAGAGTGGATACCGATTTCGAATCACTTAAAATGTTAGAATGCATCTGTGGGTGTAGCGCCTCTGTCAAATACAGACAACAGTTTCATGACGCAAGGAGAAAAACCAGAGTGGCACGGTTTCTGCGCTTTGCACATTCAGTTATTTTGGAATCGTGGTAACAAGGAAGCATAAGCATAAGCATAAGCATAAGCTATGTAAGCCCCACGGACGCGGTACAAGCTTGCACGCGTCTAAATGCTCGGAAGAATATCTAAATTTCAAATAGCTCTACAAGTCGTTCGACGAAGCTTGCCCGCGAGCAGCGACGTCCAGAGTCCTAGTGCAGGTGCTAAGCATCACTGCGTAATTTGGCCTTAGATTCACCTGTCTAACCTTATGAAAATGTAACACTTCGCCTGCCTATGGATGCATGGGGACGCCCCCCCCCCCCCCCCCATGTGCAGCTGGGCTTTTACCGCAGCGTTTTAAAGCCAGTTCATTCCACAGGGGGGCGGGGAGATCACCTTCAGCTCAACGGTGAGCGACTCGTGGAAGCCGACGGCGGCGAACTTGGAGGCGCAGTAGTCGGTGAGGCGGCTCATGCCCTGCATACCGGCCAGGCTGGCGATGTTCACCACGTGACCCCCTCTTGAGGCGATCATGTCCGGCAGGAACGCCTTGCAAGTCTGCACAAGAGGGCGCCGGGCGTCAGTCGGCCTGCGTCTGAGGTAGGTCGCTCGTGCTCGGTGGGCGCCGCTTGTGACGGGCGCTCGCGCCCGCGCGGCTTGTGGCCGGTGGGCGCCGCGCCGGGGGTCAGCAGCGGGCGGTGGGCGCCGCGCGGGGCATCAGCAGCGGGTGGTGGTCCGCACGCCGGGATCAGCAGCGGGCGGTGGTCCGCACGACGGGGATCAGCAGCGGGCGGTGGTCCGCCACGCCGGGGATCAGCAGCGGGCGGTGGTCCGCACGCCGGGACTCAGCAGCGGGCGGTGGTCCGCACGCCGGGGATCAGGCAGTGGGCGGTGGTCCACACGCCGGGGATCAGCAGCGGGCGGTGGTCCACACGCCGGGGATCAGCAGCGGGCGGTGGTTCGCGCGGCCGCGGGGATCAGCGGCGAGACGGTTGATCCGTGCGCCGGGGATCGCGGCGAGCGGTGGTTCGCACGCCATGGGATCAGGCAGCGGGCGGTGGTCCGCACGCCGGGGATCAGCGGCGGGCGGTGGTCCGCAAGTCGGGGATCAGCAGTGGGGCGACGGGACTCTTACGTCTCGAAATAAATAAGGGCACCCATGGTTGATCTACGGGTTCTTTTGCTTTCAACACAAAAAACAACCGCTAGCCTTTTTTCAGTCATATGGAAATCGTGTAAAATCATAATGAATCCTATAATGTGCAAGGCGTCAGCCGATATATTATGATGCATGATAATATATATATATATAATAATATATTATATATCTATTATATATATATATATATCTATATATGTGTGTGTGTGTGTGTGTGTGTGTGTGTGTGGTGTGTGTGTGTGTGTGTGTTGTGTGTGTGTGTGTGTGTGTTGTGTGTGTTGTGTGGTGTGGCGGGTGCGTGTGTGCGTGTGTGCGTGTGTGCGTGCGTGCGGTGCGTGCGTTGCGTGCGTGCGTGCGTGCGTGCTGTCGTGCTTGGTGTGGTGTGTGTGTGTGTGTGTGTTTGTGGTGTGTGTGTAAATACCCGCCTAAGACATCGCTTCGATACATTGTGCACCATTATTATGACACAATGGCAGGGAAAGTTATCATAAAATACGAGTGCATTTGACAGACCCCGGGAGGCATGACAACGGTCATAGTTACCGCAACTAAGCACAATTTCTCAAAGGACAAACAGGACAGCTTGGAAACTACACCATCACGAGACGAAAGATCTTTTTACATTTTCGCATTAAAAAGCAACTTCATAATTCACAGAAGATATGCGGACCCCGTGGTATTTAACGGTGACTTCTTTGGTGGCTAAGACGTGGTTCTAAAATTCCTAAGGTCGCAAAAATTGCTGCGACAATGAAGAACGCTCACTCGATGACGATGACTGTTACGACGTGATGATCGAACCGCTGACAATTACACAAATGATAGCGACTCTTGTCCTTGCCACCAAGTTTTTACCGTCTCTTACTTTAAAATATATATATTATATCATATATATTATATATATATGTATGTATATTTCTCTTCTCTCTAAATGTTGATGTGCGTGTTTGCGTGTGTGCGTGTTGTGCGTGTGTGAGTGTGTGCGTGTGTGCGTGCGTGCGTGCCTGCATGCGGTTTGCGCGCGTGACATGGTGCGTGTGTGCGTGCGTGCGTGCAGTGCGGAGGCGGACGAGCGTACGGGTGTGCATGCGTTCGTGTGTGTTTGAAATGACAAGTTATTCGTTGTCAAGGTTTTACTGATTTCAGAAATACCCATTTAAGGCGCACGGCGGCATTGAAACGCGCCTCAGGCTATGTGACGTCACCGAGCGCTGGCGGGCCGTCGGCGACCGGTAGGGTTACGTCATCGAGTCGGCCGGTATAACGCTTCTGTTCAGCTTGTCGTAAAACGGGGAACAGGGATTGACATCGGCCTAGCCTAGCATTCTTTTGAGAAAAAAAAACTCTGATGAAGGTATTAACACATAAACATCCCCAGCACGTGCTGGGAACGTACCTTTTCAACAACATATCGTTCCTTTTCAGTCCTCATTGGCATCTTGCTGTGCCGAGAACGGTTTGGACGAGCCGAAAGACAACAAAATAGTATACATGTAAGCAAACAAATGATATAATTTGCCCTGTCCACCCTGAGTGAACCCCTGCCAATGCCGGGTCAGCAAGCGTCCCTCCCCACCCGCACCCCCACCCCGTCCCACGCACGGAATGGCGAGATCATCGGAATGTTCCCCGACTCGTTCCGGGTGTGCCCCGGTGTCTGGCAGCGCTCCTCGCCGCCGAAACTGCCAAGTCATCGCCACTTTCGCCAGTCCGACGGACGGCGCTGGCGGAAAGCTAACGAAAGTGACGCAACGTGACGGTCCGGCGCGTCGGCGTTACGTCCCACACAGCGCCATGCCGTGGGGGGGGGGGGGGGGGGGGGGGCGGAGAACGGCACCGGTGGTCCCTAGGCCGGCCGCACCGGCTGGGGACCGCGGGAATACTGCAGTGCAAACCCAGGCCGTTCATTGCCGGCTGGGCTGCGTGTCCAAAATATGTTACGGGGATTAAATTCGTCCGACATTAGTTCGTTCGTTTCTCTGTAAAAACGAACACGTGGCGTTAACGTGAAAATGCAGAACCTACGAGTGTCCTTGACGCACAAAAGGAAGATGCTTCAGGCACGCTGCTCATTTATCTAGCGCACTATGAACGAAAATCAGCGAGCTGATGTGAAAAAGGCATAATTAAGCCCGATGCCGGTTGGACTAGCATCACCTCGCTGAGTCCCGGCCGGACCCGCACGCGACAGCAGGGTCTCACCTGGAACACGACATACACGGCAGATTCCAACTGGTCTCATTTGACCCAGCACAGCCCCGTTAGCCTAACCCAACGCAGCCGTCCCGCTTGGTTACCACAACCCAGCAGTCCTCGCTCATCTAACACGGCACGGCCGAGCTGGGGCGATACTAAACACAGCAGAATCCCTCTGGGCTAACCCGACACCGCAGTCCTCGCTGGCCCGACGCCACACCGCTCAGCGCCGGCTGGTCTAAACGTGACGCCGCAAAGGGACGCTGGGCAAACGTCAAACAGCCCGGCTCAGCCCGTCTCATGCGACATAGCAGAGCAAGGCTGATTTGGCCCGGCACGGCCGAGGTCCCGCCAGATTCTTGGTTTTATGATCAGCGACCTCATACACAAGAAGCAAGTATTCAACAGGACAACACGACATGGTCGAACACGGCACGGCGAACACAAAGTCGCCTGCCTAGCTGGTCCAGCACATATCAGCAGCAGTTCTCAGCTAGTGTAACACCACATGTTGGAGTCTAGGCTAAGCTAACACGGGGCTGCAGAGGCCCGGCTGCTTCAGCACTAGTGTAGCACTACATATATGGGAACCCAGGCCGAGCTAGCACAGGGCTGCAGAGGCCCGGCTGCTTCAGCACTAGTGTAACACTACATATCGGAACCCAAGCCGAGCTAGCGCGGGACGGCAGAGGCCCGGCTGCTTCAGCACTAGTGTAGCACTACGCATATTGGGAAACCCAGGCCGAGCTAGCACGGGCTGCAGGAGGCCCGGCTGCTTCAGCACTAGTGTTACACTACACATCGGAACCCACGCCGAGCTAGCACGGGGCTCCAGAGGCCCGGCTGCTTCAACACGCCATAGCAGCGTCTCTGCTCGGCTGATAAGAGACAGTAATCTCAGCTGCTTCAAAACGGCACAATCTCGGTTGGGGCGACACGAGACAGCTCAGTCTTGGCCAAACTGGCCTCACGCAACAGAGCGGTTTCGTGGCCGTGATTGTCAGTGGGACTAAGTGGGACCGTCAGTGGGGACTAAGTGGGATCGTCAGTGGGACTAAGTGTGACTGCCAGTGGGACTAAGTAAGGCCGTCAGGGGACTAAGTGGGACCGTCAGTGGGACTAAATGGGACTGCCAGTGGGACTAGGTGGGGACCGTCAGTGGGATTACGTGGGACCGTCAGTGGGACTATCACGTACATACCCAGAATGTGAGCGAGCGTGTTGAACTCCAAACGTCTTCATCGATCAGCTTGTCTGGAATCTCCAGCAGGCGATTTCCGATGACCATGCCGGCATTGTTGACCTAAAATTGCTGACCTGGAAACGTCAAATTAAGGTCAGGACACGGAACACAACCCGCTGCCACACGAGTCGAACCATCTACAGCGACTGGATTGAAGCCGCACTTTGCGCCCACGTAAAATGATACTTTGTCGCACATAAAGTGCCACTTATTCGTCCTTAACTAACATCGCAGCACCAAGCTGTGATGTTATGAAAAGCTATTAAAAGACCGCAAAGCGAACGCGTATGCCTGTAGATGCCAGCGCTCGAGAGCACGCCAGGCACGGCTTTTGTTCCCGATATGCGCTTATGTAAATGCATGGAGTGTGTGAGTAATAAAGGGAGGGCCCCTCTCCTCCCATCAAATGTTTGCCATGCTGTTCGGGATTGAATGTGAACGCCGAACCGAATATCTGCCACGGGGACGGGAAGCCGGTTCCATCCGTACCGAAGCCGCTCTGGGCACCGCAGCGGCGGCTTTAGCCGAGGGCCACCGGCGCGCTGTCTGCCTTGGCGCCGGAAGCGATCGGCTCCTGGCGCCCGGCCAACCCTGCCCCAACGCCGGCACGCGGAACAGCAGCACGCACGAGCAGTCGGTGTTGGCCGGGTGCTGAGGCATCGACTGATAAATTGGTTACTAGATGTGACTGAGTAGACGGCAATCCCGCTTCCAACGGGAGCCATTTGCCCGGGAGGATACAGGGGTTTGTGGTTTCCTATCTCATTTTTTTTCTCTTTTAGGGAGGGCTTGTAGCTCAGAAACCAGACGGTTTTTGGTCTTAAGAGGGACAGGGCTAAGAACTGCACCGATCTATCTTCAAAACGTCTATTTTGGCTCGAAACACTACACAAATGTGGAACAAGCCCTTCAATCGAAGGCATTAACACCAATATTGCTTGCCAAAGGACACACAGGTATTTAAACGCAGAGGCAAGCCCCCGACTCAAGTCATGACAGCCCAACCCAACGAGACTTTTCGACCCAGTTTTTACCGTTGAAGCGCCTAGCTAAGTATGAGGCATCCTTTGACTGTCACAAAACAAACATCCATTAACACACTCGATGATGCAATCAGGCAGTTACAGGTTGTGTAACAAACAGAGGGATCAGGGCACAAGTGAATGAATAAATCACTTTGTGTGACGACTCATCATGGGTCGTGACGCAGCTGACACAGCGGATTAATGTGAACAGGCTCCGTGGTTTGCGTATCTTCTTCTGGCATACAGGGGCTGAGATGCAAACTTTGCGAGAGCTACCATGCGCAGCAGCTCGCCCCTAGTTTTCGTACTTTGGGAATGGACTGCACTTGAAATTCACTAGCAGTCAGGACGCAAATGCGAGCACGTTCAATGAAAATCAATACGTCACTGGGGCTTTGTGATGCACTCAGCTGTGAGCCTATACCATACCGCCCGCTTCTCTATACTGGCAGGAAGAGCGGAGATCGAAGGTGATTGAACTACGCACGTCCGGTTTCCCCGACGCACAGCTTAACCACTACATCACTAGTGCCCATTTCAGTTGCCTTTGAGGGCCTTTTCTTCAGCCGTTTTTTTACATCAATGTGGCTTGTTAGCAATTGATGAAGCCAGCTCAGCAATGCAACAAAGCCTGGGCCCTTTGACGTAACGTAATATATCGCAGGTCATACCTGTCCGATGTCTAATAGTGTGCATCTGACAAATGTTTCCAGAAGCTACTCAACGCCGTTTTTCACATTGGTCGTGGCATCCTGTGTTCTAAAATAAACAGCGTTGATAATAGCGGGAGAGACTTAAAAAGTACTCAGCTTCTTCGTGGCTCTAGCTTCCTTTGGTTTCTTAGAGGTCTTAGTCCTCTTAGACCGCTGTTAGAAGGTTCAAACGACCACCCGCGCCAATTTTGGGGCGAGAGGTGGCCCCATAAACTCAATGCAAAGGTTTGCAGATGTTTCTGATCGGCCTCTGGCTTTCATGCAGGGCTGGAATCTGCGAACCCGTCGCAAAGGCGGAGCCTGCTGCGTTTGCTTTGCTGTGAGCCCATTGGGGGCGCACTGTTTACACAGTCCGGGTCCAGACGTAGCCTTGAGTCGCGTCACCGGCGACACACCTCCTCCTAGTCGAAGTCCAGCGGCGTCACCGCGTGCAACACAACCAGCACACGCTCATGTGTTTAAACTCCGACGGCTTCCAGTCTCGTGGCGGCTGGCCAGGCGCCAACCGAATTTCTTGCATGCATAAATGACCAATACAATGTACCAAAAAATATAGTAAATAGATGCAACTAAAGGGATGGATGCAGTCAATCAATTAATAATGAATTGTTTGTAGGATGATGTGACATCACATTGTCAAGACACGATGACAGGATAGCGTGTAAAATTGATTGGCAAATTTGAAAGCATTCTAATTGCCTTCAGAGTTAAATGTACCATTAAAATAAAGATTACGAATTGATGTTTCAAGTCGATACAACGAGCCTTGGAAAATCAGTTAAGAACAATGCGCAGTACACCCTGCTTAAATCAGATGAAATCAAAGATGAATCAGAATGAGCTTCCGTCTGTTTTGCGTAATATCACCCGTTCAGTAAAACAAGTCGTCAGCTATGACAAGGGACATTGTGAGCAAAGCCTAAACAACATGTCCGTTATGAAAGAAAGCGTATGCTTCGTTATGCTTCCCGTAAACAAGGAAGGCCTTGGGCTCCTGGTTTTTGCGGCATTATGAGCTTCTTATTCTTATACTGACAACAGTCAAACTTCAATACGCCTTGAGATACTGGTTAAAGGACATTATCAAGCGAGCATTGGCTAATTTGTATTGAGTTTTGACAGCTGCAGCAACGCTTCCTTGATTGCGTACGTTTAGCCAGTCCCTCCTGGTAAAATGATGGTTTCCTATTGTTACGATAAGATTCAAACTGATATATCCCAAGTTATGCACTAATCGAGCATCAGTATTCCGTTCAAACACGTCACATGCTTCCAGGAGTAATTCATGATTGTCAGCGTGTAGGACACAAGCCGTAGCACCAAACAAATGAAAGGTCCACATAAACTGCGGTCTACTGGGACGAAAATGAGCTTAAAGAGCATGATGCCTGGGGAAGCAGACCTGCACCTGGTGCGTTTCAGATTTATGATCAAATCACGGGTAACCCAAAATTTGCATGTACCGAGCCTGATGTAAATCATTTGTCTTTGACCAGATTCAGGACCAGGACGGGTTCGATTCTTGTTGCTTTCATTCAAAAGCAGCGATGGCCTCAAAATAAGAAATAACAGTTTGAATGACTGACGACCGTGGGCTGATAAACAGCATTGCAGCATGGCTTATCCATATCATTATTTTATGCCAATACATATAAATTTCCACTAATAATAAATAATGCAAGAACATGAAACTATTTACGCACACACTACATGAATCCAATACACATGGAAGTCTTACAAATCTACGCATAAAGGGCGCGTTAGGTTTTAAGCCTCTTTGTCGGCTCTCGTTAAGAGTCTAAGGAATTCCGTCACACCACACCATGGCACCCCGGAGAGGGAGGCAGGTATTCGTCTTCCAAGGCCAAATTCACTGGCGGCCCCAATCGTGATCGCAGAGAAAAAGACGGATCCGACAAAGCTCCCAGCAAGCTCACCCAGGCTAGACAAACAATGCTAGAGCTCTCAAAACGGCTCAACGTGAGCGGTGTTAGAGCGACACAAGCTACAGAACTTTCTGGGCAGAGCAGACCGGTTCTAATCCTATATTCGCGGAGCATACAGAGCCCTGAGAAGGGCCGCGTTGTGAGCTCACTGCGGCAGTCCGACTGCTGCTCTGAGATTAAACGCAAGTCAGGTCTCCATGCGCCCAATGTCTGCTTCGGTTCAAGCAGCTCGTGCGCTCCAAAGACGAGCACCGCGGCCGCCGTCGTGCGCCACAGGAAAGGCGGCGGGCGTGACAAATAATTATCGTATTGTTGAAGCCTTCTAACGTTTAACTCTTATTGAACTGTTTGCATAGGGCACGGTCAGTTTCGGAGGGTTGTCTTCTATTATCAGCGTTCATATGACCTTGCTACTTACTAGCTGTTAACAATTATCACACAAGCGGTGTTCTTTTTATGAACGTTTGAATTTACAGCCTGGAAGTTCAAGTGACGTTTTGTTTTTTCTTCATCCTCCTGCAGTTAACTACCGCATCGCGCAACCGTGTGGTTTTCTATCCTCAGCTGCGAAGGACCGCATGGTGCACACATGTTGTGTTTTCTGCACTCAAGTTGCGAAGGATCGCGTTACGTAGCCGTGTGGTGTTTTTCTACACTTAAGCCGCGAAGGACCCAATTATGAGGCCGCTTTGCACGCAGATAACATTGTGCATCTATTAGGCGCTGAAAATGTGAGCCATGTCAGGAAAGCGAGCCTCGAACTTGAGGAAATCATGTCCAGATGTTTTACCAACTGGTCTCTAACTCACATGCCTTACCAACTGATGATTCAACATTTCTTTAGCTTACTGCATGACCACGGCTGATGTTGAATCGTATTTATTGGAAATATCACGCTATTCAGGATGTTTTAAGTTACAGCTGGAAAGTTTGCATGGTATATTGTTCGTTTGCTGTGCTTCAGCTGTGAATGACGGCATCACGCAGCCGCTTTGCAGACATGTGATTTCGCTCACCTAACAGGAACTGAAAATGTGGACATCTCCGGAACATCCAGGCGGCCGCACCATGTGACCTTTCACGGCCGGATTTATCAGAAAAACCACAGGGCGTTCCAATAGGTTTGAATAGCGTTGATTTGACTGCTCTCAAGTCATCATTGCCCTTTAGTAATAAAGGATTCCGGATCACCTCTGTTGATTTGATCGAACCAACCGTTGATTCAAAGAACAATGGAAAACTAATGAAAAGTAAGCTTGATTCCGATAATTATTCGGCTTCAGTCATTTTTAGTTGAAGTCGATTCTGCTCATGTAGAGTCGGCCACAGCACCATTCTGCGGCGCAGAAAGTCGTTTAGTCTTTGCCATCCGCGCCTGTCCCCCGTGGCAGAACTGATGGGTGGCACGTCACGTGGTGCCCGATCACTGTGGCCACAGTTCAAGGTTGCGGCGGATCGTTCGTCACGTGACCCCTGACGCACGTGATGCGATGGCGGATGTCGCCTTGGAACTGGCAGCGCCCTAAACAGCGTCGGGCGATCTGGCTCTAATCCAAGACCGCCTCTGTTTAGAAAAGCCGGCCGACGATCACCGCACGTCACGCCACTCGGTAGTGAGGCAACCAGCAGAGCAGCCGCGGGATGCAGGGGCTGGGGGATTTGCAGGGATGCAGGGGATTGTCATGCAGCACCCAAACGTCCCTCGTTAAAGTTGAGTGTCGCTGTCGGGCCTTGGGTGCCCCTGAAGTGAAGGCAGCTCCAGCCACGTGCGGCGGGTCACACGGACACTGTCGGAACTTGGGTCCCCCTGAAGTGAAGGGAGCTCCACCCACGTGCGGCGGGCCACCACGACACCTCCGGTGAACGATTGCCTCCGGGAAGCCTGCAAAAGTGAACGGGTAGCCCCCCGGCCGCGGGACGCGGTGACAGCTGCGCCTTCAGTGACAGCGCCATCGGAGCCGGCCAACTGACTCGCCGACGCATGACAAAGTTCAGGGAGCTACACGAAGCCGGACTGAAACTTGCGAAAACAAATAGTGAGCGAGAAGGAAATCGGTTCAGTGCAAGCACAGGACCATGGAGCACAAACCGCACTCCGCCCTGCTCCAGATGTGTCCCCCAGTCAGGCGTGGTCAGGTCAGGCCAGGATGCGTCCCCGGCCATGTGCCAAATTACGACTGCACCCCGGGATCGAACGTCTGTAAGGGCACAGGGGCGAAGAGCAGCGGTCTGGCGCACACCCACGTCTGCGCTCGCCGACGCAGGGGGGGGGGGGGGGGTACGCGGCTGGGACCACGGTCGGAGGCGGAGCTGGTGTGCACCAGTACACG